AAAGGTAACAATTATTTATTAACTATGTGTGTATATATGTTAATTAATTGTTTTAAGTGAATTATTGTATTTTTTCTTTACTCTCTACTCACTAAATAAGTCAGTCATTTAAAACATAGAACTTTGTACGTAAGTACATAAGTTCAAGTTGTCATACCGCGTTAGCGCAGTGGACGCGATTGTCAGTTCAAATCCTATAGTGGTAGAGGTAGTAGAAGTATTAGCAGTAATCGAGGAGACTAGGGTTCGAAGATGCTATTCAAGAAGTATTCTTTAGTGAGATAACTTTAGAAAGAGAAAGAAAGAAGTAATGAGGAATCCAGAAGTTTAGAATGGATGCATCTATGCCATTGCAAACGATTTCGAACCATGTCGTTCAAGATCTCTAACCATCGGTTACCACCGTCTCGCAGTCCCCAACCAGGTAGCCTATATCGGTCAACATGACTCAATCAAGTTGTCAATGACTTCATGGATTTGTGCCATGTTTTGATTTGGCCGCCACTAACTTTATTCCAACCTACTCCTACACCACAAAACATAGCTCTTCGAAGCATTCGGTAGTTTGGAATTCGTAACACATGTCCCAACCAACTCAACTGACAAAGTTTTAATACTTCATCTTTTGATCTGTCATCCTCACCTAGTACCCGATTCCTAATAACAGCGTTGCTCACTCGGGTGTCCCACGATATATGAGCAATGCTTCGAAGACTTCTATGATCGAATACTAATAACCTACGAAAGTCCCCTACTCTTAACGGCCATGTTTCTCATCCATATAAGAGAACGGAGCGAACTGCTGCTCAGTAGACTCGCCGTTTTGTTAGAAAACGGATATCTCGCCTACGTCATAAATGACGCCAGTTGGCGAAAGCCAATCGACCCTTTTGTATCCGTTATGAGATTTCGTTAGTCGCTAGGCCATGAGCACTGATGAGACTCCAGAGATAAGTGAAGCGGTCAACACGCTCAACGGCTTCACTTCCTATCAATAGTTCAGGTGCCGACGCAAGCCAATCCTGAAACAACATCATAACTAACATTGAACCTGGCTTACTTGATTATGGCTCACTTGAACTGTAATATTTAGATTGTTTCTTGGTGAAATATTAGTTTTTACGCTAACAATTTGGTTTCAGTAATTTAAAGTACTCTGTATTTTTAGCATTGAGAAAGAAATGTTTATAGAAGTCGTTAATTAATGTAATATACTATCGCTGACATAATCGCGTTTGCGTATAAAATGAAACAAGTCAAATACAAGAGCAGTATCGGATACATTGATTTCATACATCCATACATCAATGGAAAGACAAAAAACTAAGACGAAATACGTATCTACAAAATTTCATAAGCCTTAATATAACTTGAAGTCGACAATGTATAGTGCCATCAAAAGGATACATCTGATAAGATAAGAAGATCACACACACATCCACACAAGACCTATGCGCGCAGAATGATAAGGACATGAATAAAAAAACACATCTGTTGAAAGCCGAAATCATTTATGAAGAGAGCAAAGTTATTAGAATAATATAAGTAACTCATTAGTCATATGCTGCTTCAGTTATTAATGTTTGTCCAAAAGCTCAAATGAGTTGTTACACTGATCATCTTACTAGTATGAATATATATGACCAAGCGTAAATCATTACTTGTCACATCGTAAAAGGACTGATATGGTTCAGTGCAAAAAAAGATGGCATGTTTGCGGAGAACAGCTTATTTAGGCAAGCGAGAAAAAAAAATTAAGGCATGTAATTTGTTTCACTAACTTCGTCATCGAGTTTTACACCGGTTAAAATCGCATAAGGATTGTGTTATATAGCAAAATGTTCAAAATAGATAATGCTAACGAATAAGGAATCTGCCTGGAGCTCTAATGTGGTTATTGCCTGTCCTGTGGAAGAGGGTTGGGGATAAGATTAGCAACCTCATCCCTTAGAAAATGCACTCGCTAAAAAAAACGCTAACCAGAACAAATAATTCAAACCATCTAAACTGTGCCTTGCAAGTTGAAAGGTCTTTATTCATAAGAGTAAGGACACCTCATGATGAAAGTCGAGTTTCGTCGGAAGTCACGAGGCCGATACCTCTTCCGACAATTAAAACAGTTGTTACTAGATACTAGGTACATGGAATGTTCGTACAGTAATGTGAATACGACAATGTTCTATTCAAATATTCTTTGTTTTTGATTACTCTTCGAGAATTCTTAAACATATTCACCGATAATAGATTCACTACAAATCCAATTACTGATTCTACTACCATTTTCAAAATGTTTCATAAGACTGTTAGCCTCAATTGAGTTTCGTATATACTTAAATTTACTTAACTCATTGTAATTAGTTAGCTCATTTAAAATTAGACAACCTCTAAAAACTTGGCTGTACAATCATGTATGCGTACTGGTGAATGAGTCCCATAATAGGCCGAAGCGACCACAGACCAGTGCACTCAGGTTTTCAACGGTTGTCTCACTTAGATTAGTTCGTAATATCAATAGAATTATATTACCAGTGGAGTTCAACCCTGTCGGGTGTAGGCAGTAACTACCAAAGACAAATGGGTGAAGTTGCGCAAAATCACTAGATCAATCAGAGTTAGACATTAACACCGTTGGATGCCGGCCCAGTGGTCCGATGGTAAGGCGTTTGCCTACAATGCCAAAGGTCCCGGGTTCGAATCCTGCGAGGAGCAGGAGTCGTGGATGCGCACTGCTGAGGAGTCCCATACTAGGACTTGACGACCATCCAGTGCTTCCAGGTTTCTAATGGTGGTCTAACGGTGATGGTTGTTTAATGATTTCAAATTATATTACTATTGTCTGTAATTTATTGGTTATAAATGTTGCTATTTTTTTCATCGCTTAAACTTATGAATCACACAGAACATGAATCAGTAGTCAACTCCTCACCCACTACTACTACTACTAATACTCCTCTAGCCAGCATTGATGCTTCCATTATTCTTGGACAAGATAGTTTTGAATTATTATCAGAAATGATGAAATCTATGTGTAAAGCAGATGATTCAACGCCAACACCAACACCAACGCCGCCAACATCATCATCAGCCAATCAAATTTTCAATGTAGAACAATCATTTCTATCTAGTCATTTATGTTCTATGGATAAATGGACAGCAAAACAATGGTTTGATAAATATTTAATCTGTAAACTAATTGATTTATTAGAACAAATACCATATTGTTGTTATAATAATAGTAGTGAACGTTGTTTACGAATGAAAGCATTTCTTGACTTGGATTATGATAATGGTTGTTTTGATGATGTCATCAAAGTGAGTATATGATTAGTTTAAACTGTGTACCTTTTTTTTTTAATCAGTGTTAATTATATATTAAAAGAGATAAGTTATGCAAGATGTTCACTTAATTCAAACAGCAATTGGCTTGATTTCATTGCTTTACAGAAGTGTATCTTATTCGCTTGATCACTATTACACTTACTTACTTACTTACTTACGCCCGTTACTCCAAACGGAGCATAGACTGCTGACCAGTTTTCTCCAACCAACTCTGTCCATAGCTTTCCTTTCCAGTTCTATCCAATTTTTGTTCATTTTTCTCATGTCTTTCTCTATTTCTCGACGTAATGTGTTCTTTGGTCTTCCTCTTTTCCTTTTGCCTTGAGGGTTCCAGGCGAGGGCTTGTCTCGTGATGCAGTTAGGTGTCCTATCCACTTCCACTTCTTCCTGATTTCCTCCTCCACTGGAATCTGGTTTGTTCTTTCCCACAGTAGGTTGTTGCTGATGGTGTCTGGCCAACGAATACGAAGTATTTTGCGTAGACAACTGTTAATAAACACTTGTATCTTCTGGATGATGCCTTTGGTAGTTCTCCAAGTTTCCGCTCCATACAGTAGAACTGTCTTCACATTTGTATTGAAAATCCTGATTTTGGTTTTGTTTGAAAGTTGTTTGGAGTTCCAGATATTTTTCAACTGTAGAAACGCAGCCCTTGCTTTGCCAATCCGCGCCCTCACATCTGCATCGGATCCACCTTGGTTGTCGATGATGCTGCCAAGATATGTAAAGGTGTCAACGTCATCCTAGGTATCCCCATCAAGAGTGATTTGATTGGTGCATGTTGTGTTGCACTATAATACGCCTAACCATATAGATATTTTTGTATGCATCAGTTATCTGTCTGACTGTTCTAACTGTTTACCTGGAGCGTCAACCTATCATTGTTATCTCCTGCTAGTCATTTTCCTTCTTTTTATCTTGAAATAAAAAATGTACAGACGAAAAATGTTAGTAAGATTTTCCTTAAATCGAAAGTCATTTCTAATCACAAAATAAATATATATGACTGATAACAAGAATAATAAAGTTGTAGTAGGCTAGGTTAAAAATTTTTTCTGACGATTTCATGACTCAGTGTATGCCTCTGCTTCAGAATTTATCTGACAACTTTTTCAGTGTTTCAACTGTTTTGATCATTTAAACACATTTTGATTTAGTGTTGAAGTGTTGTATATTAGAGATTTTATCTTAAACCGTTTCATCGATCTATCATTCCAGGCTGCGCCACACAGATATGCTGAAAGTTGATATTTGTAGATAATTTCATATTCTAAATGAAATAATTAACGAAAAAGAACATTCTTATATGCAGCACTAACTCACTAAATGAATGAAAAATGGTCAAAGTTACTTAATATTACAACCCAGTTATTGCACATTGAAAATGACTATAGTGACCATAGCCAACTGACATCACATGAAGAATGAGTCAAATATACTGGGATGACAGTAGATAACTGTCCTAGTTTATAAGGAACGCATTTTAGCAATGTGTACCCTTTATCTCTGACGATATCGAACCGATGAGATTTATAATTCATTGACAACCTTAATGCATTTCGACTATTAAGTTTTGGATTCAGTGGTTAATATTGTTTTGGTTATGGAGCTTTCATTGTTCTTCTACTGAACAACATCATCAGCACAAACTTCAGATAGAAGAAGTGAAATATTCAAATTTCTCCACGTTTGACCCGTAGCTTATTTTGCCAACCTCGATCTTGATTGGTTATTGTTAACCTTAAACTTGTCTAATTCTTTACTCACTAAGTCTCACTTTCTATCAATCACTTAGATATCTGACTTTAGTAACTTGAATTTGTCATTCTCACTTGTCAACGTGATGGTCATCTATTTTCGATTGTACTGACTGATATTTATGCATTTTCGAGATGTAGAGTTGTCAACTAGAACAAAATAATGATCCAATGTCCCTTAATTGTCAGTAGTTTCGTAATTAATATCAATTTGTGATAAAAAGTATCCTTTAGAAATAGTTAAAAAAAATCTTTACTGTTTGTAAAAAATACTTATTTACTTACGCCCGTCACCCCCAATGGAGCATAGGCAGCCGACCAGTATTCTCCAACCTACTTTGACCTGCGCCTCTTCCCACTTCCGCCAGATTTTTGTTCATGCTTCACATGTCTTTCTCCGTTTCTCGACGTAATGTGTTCCTTAGCCTACCTCTTCTCCTTTAACCTTGAGGGTTCCAGGTGAGGGCTTGTCTTGTGACATAGTTGTATGTTTTCCCAAAGTAGGTTGTTGCTGATGGTTTCTGGCCAACCCGTCCGAAGTATATTGCTGTAGAGTTCGTCACTAGGTGCGCTTGAAGCTATTACGAGTTCAACTTAGTTGATAAACGCGAACGCGACAATTACCACTGTCCAGGTAGGCTAACTTGAATCCCGAACTGCAAAACGGAAGGCTTTGTAAGCGTAGAAAGTATATTCTACAAACACCCAGCAATCACAATACAATCAATCACATAACTCGCATTTATTTATACATCATAGAAACGTCCTTGGGACAGTTACAAAAATAACACACTACAATACACAGCAGCCAATCACAGCCATGGATTTTCCTGGTTCATAGGAAATGAAATCTCAAAGTCAACTGATCATCCCATACTCACAAACGTGAAATCCAAAATTAAAGCATTTATCAAGTGAGTTTTGGGGATCTAACAATCCTCACCAATGCGTAGACAGCTGTTAATAAATACTTGTATCTTCTGGATGATGGCTTTCTTAGTTCTTGACATTTGTATGGAAAACTAT